TTGTGGTTCTTCACACCTATGACCAGGGGTGAGCACGGCCCGAGATTGTTACATGAGTATCGTGACCTTGGTTAACATGCCAGGGGTGAGCACGGCCCTAGGTTAGGGGTAACGTGACCTTGGCACAGTGTTATATCAGGGGTGAGCACGGCTCTGGATTGTTACGTGGGTATCGTGACCTTGGTTAACATGTCAAGAATATCCACACAACGAGAATGTCATCATCATTATCAAAGCAAAGCATCATCAAAGTACACAACAAACAAAAAACTGTTAGAGTACACAACAGAATCATGATAAGTACATAACTCACAGCCGATTGGATCAACCTGGCTCTGATACCACTAAATGTGACACCCTCTACTCCAACATACATATATAATAATGATAAAAAGAACGTCTTATTGAGTTAAAAATCTTTAAAATTAAAATAACAATTCCAATAACATGAGAGTAGAGAATTCACACTCATCAACTTTAAAACATGATCAAATGCGGAAAAAATAAATCATGAGTTCTTCCAAAATATAATAATGAAATCCTAACTAGGCCTAGCTATGCCCCGATGTCACATATCCTATCAAAGCATGCCCAACTGAAGCCTAAGCCACATCACCAACATCCTCATGATGATGATCACCTACAACACAATTTTAAACACATACAAAGAACAACAATGGAGTGAGAAACATCTCACTCGATTCCAAGTGTAGAAATAAAAGTTAGGCAAAACACACACAAATCAAACAAGCACAGTCATAGCTACACATTATTTAGGTACAAATTCAAATTATACATACAACAGTAACACATGCATAGTCATTCATCATGCAATGATCCCATGGACGCAACAAGAAGAATAGGAATGAATTCCTCCCTCGATCCTTACAAGCTTGCCGAACTTTTCTCTAGTACAGTAGTATATTCCTTTCCTCCCTACCCCGCTATGGGTCCCCTATTCACAATCAATTCCCTCATTCCTCCCAATCATTACCCATATCACTCCTTCCATCCCCCCATGCCATCTGTCCTCGGTTTTTTTTCCTCTTTCCTCAACCAAATTCTCCTCATTAGTTGGTTGCCTCCCTTTCTTCTCATAATAGGCCTTTACCCTGATCATTGGACGTACAAGGCCTTCTCCTATAAATGTGAGTTATGGGCCTATCAGTCATCTTTTGCTTTTGGCTAGAATTGTTCATTGGATTCTTCATGGTGATACTAGGCAGTTTTTTTACATTTGCGGAATTTTGTGATGGAGATCAGATTACCATATAATTAGGTTTTATTTAGGATTTATAATTTTGATTTCATATTTAGAAATTTAATTTTAATTTAGTGTAATTTCTATGCCAGTCTATATAGACCCTTATGGTAGACTTCATACATTTTCTTTACTATTGAATAATAATAATTTTCTTTTAGAAAGTTTGATTTGAGCCGGAGAAGTACTATAGGTTAACAAATATCTAAAGATATATAAAGATATTTGTGATCTCCTATATATGTATAATATTTACAACATTTTTTAAAAGTATATGCCGTAATGAGAAAAGACATCCTTGTTAGACAAATTGTTCAAACCATCAATGAGCTTGTTGCATGCTAAGAAGTACAGAAGCACTATTAAATGCCAAATGATGCAGACTCAACTAAAAATGCTTGCACGGTATGACAAAGGCTAAGGCCATTTCCTACTTCATGTGTCATTAAATTCTTGCTTATAAGGAGATTTAACCTCATATCTTTTACGACTCCACCTCATGTTGTTTCTAGTTCTATTGTTCCATTCTCTAAACCTATCCATTCAGGGGTATATGCTTCTCATTAGGGATGGATAGAGGGGACAATGGTAGCCCCCACCTTTCCCTCCAAATATGACAACAAAAGCCTAATCTCACTAGGTGATGTTGTCTACATGGATCACACAATAATGTTATTGGTCTGAATTAAAGACCGAATCTTCATGGATATTATTTACCATGAAAACTCTCATAACCACTTCCACCAATGTCCTTGTTTCCCCTTTTCATAAGACTAAACCATGCAATCTACTTTCCTTCTAAACAAGTGTAGTTAGTTAGTTCAAGTAATTGCTATAAGATTCTCTTTAAGATGCAAGGTATTGATTGAGAGAGAAAAATAGAGAAAGGAAAATCAAGAATTGATGTATTTGTGTAATTGTATTTCTCATTACATGATAGTGGAGCTAAGCCACTATTTATGGTACATATTGTCATGATGACAGTTCTAACAAACTAACCATATGATTCTAATAGACTAACCAAATCCGGCAATTAGTACAGTGATTGCTCTCTCACAATACAGTCACACATATTACATTGTGCTTTCCCTATATAGTAAGCTGAACAAAAGAAATTATCATTTTTATTCAGAACGCGAATATTACATTGTTGTAAAACAATTTTTAGACACATGAGAGTTTGGATGGCTTGAGAACTAGTTGTAGCATTATACAATACATCAGCATTAGAGTTTACAACATTAGAAACTAAGCATGTCTGCAGAGTTGTTTGGAGCAGCTTGAAGCTGGAGATTAGGAAACCAGTATAGACTATCAGGACCTACCAACACTTGGATCCCATACTTCTAATTTAGGACTCAAGTCCCATGTCTTACCATTGGATCCAAACATCCCACCATGCCCCACAGCCTTGACACCCACATGAGTTAGTTGTAGACTAGCCCTTTGACTAGTTCCAAGCGAACACTATAATGTTAGCATCACCACCCATGGTGCTTGTTTGCAGCTGAGAGACGTGGTGCAAGTCTTTGATACCAATTGATAAGAACCTTGGGAGAACCACACTACCAAAGCTATTTGTTGTAATTGGAGAGCATGAATCGCATACTGCCACTGTGGGATTCAAGTCACAAACTAAAACCAAAGTAAAAATCAAACGAGATTGAATTGGATAGGAATATCCATCAAAGCAAAGGAAAATTATTAACTGAAAAAATAGAGTCTGTTTGATTTGAGAAAATATTTTATATTTTCATTTTGTTTTTACTTTGAACTTAAAAGATACCACCTTGTTTTCTCTTTGGTTATTTCAAGGCTTTGTATACACAATTTTGATAACAGAAACTTTGTATTGTTTTCATTGTTTCTTATGCATGTCTTTGAAAATAAGGTCGCATTTTTGTAATTATAACTAAAAATATGAAATGAAAACATCAAACATTTTCTTAAATAAAAGGCCCCAAATTCACAAAGTAAAACTACTATTCAATTTGAAGCCCTAATATCACAATCAACCTCATTTTGCTTTATACTCTATATTCACAATGCATCCCTTAGCTACCATAATATTACATTCAGTGGATCCCATGCTGAATTCGCAAATTCTGGATTTTCAGCAACTTCTTTACAACTACTTATTATCTTGACTTCATTTTCTCCATGAGTTTATCCTTCGGCATAATAGAAAAAAGGATTACTTCATTAATAGATTTAGGAATAAACTATTTCCTGCAAGCCTATGCACCATTAGGATGTCAAATGTTGCTTGTTTGAGTGATTGTTATGTTATCCCTTATACCAAAAGCTAGTAATGATCAACTGTATTACATCACATCAAAAACTCTGGTAATTCACAATAATTTCTCTCCTTTGTGCAGGATTTTGTGTTACCAGGATTTCAGTGTATTTTACTTATGCTTGTACTCAGTATTCTGGCCTTCTTTGCTGAGGTGAAAATCTAAATTGTGTAGTAATAGTTTGCTTTATCTAGAAAAAATAATAATAAATAGAAACTATCATAATCTATAGACCATAGTTATTAGAATATTACAAATCATGATACAATTTGCAGAAATTTATATTCTCACATGATTTGATACAATTTGGTTGCCTACATCATAAGATGAATCTTAAATGACTTTGTATCTTATGATGCAAGAATTAATCTATACAATTTCGTATTCACATGATTGAACAATTTTATTTTTTTATTTTTTTATTTTTTTTACTTTTCTTTATCCAATTCACATGAAAAATTGAAAATTTATTTAAGGCTAATATGTTAAATGAAAAAGAGTTGAAGGAACACTCTTGAACTTATCCTATTTGATTATTTGACTAATTTGTTTGTCACTTACTCATTCACTTCATGTATTCTATTTAGCTATTTAATGCTTTGATTCTCTTCTTTTAAAATAAAGGCTTTATGAACATACTTTGAATTATGATTCAATATCACATCTATATGATATATTCGAAGTTTATTGTCTCTAAATCTTACGACTCGATACAAGTTATGATTCATAATTAAAAATTTAGCTAGGCAATTCATGATTCAAATCTCAATTTCATAACCTTGGTATAGGCAATTGATGTAGTTAAATAATGGTCTTTTCATGGTGCAGTTGAAATGAGGACTATATATGAGCCTTGTTTCCTTTGTGATAGCCGGTTGAAAATAAGATGGAAAAAATGTTATTTAGGATAATGTTTCTGCCAAGACTAATAATATAAACACTGATGACTAAAACATGGGAGAAATATTGCTTGAGTGTCAACTCTCAGCAAAGATTATATATATATATATATATATATATTACATTGGTTTAAATTTAACAACTATTACATTGTTCAATAACTTTTAATTCGATGATGCTTTCTCAAAATCCACCATTAGATTGAAACTCTGTTTTACCTTGAATGTATATGTCGAATTTTGTTAAAATTTAACAACAATAAAATTTTAATTAAACTATTCATATTTTAGTATATTTTCAAAAACATGTATTATGTCAATTTTGATTTATATGAATTAAGTATTTAATAATTTTTTGACTGATATAAAATATTGAAAACAGAGTACAATAAGACCAAAAAAGAGAAAGATTACAGTGGGGGATTGCAGTCTAATATCTGTGAAAGACAGCTGCATCAGATATAAAGATAACAAAAATTTAGCCTTTTACTGAATAGATACATATACAATATACATATTTTACAATGAATCTAACACTCCCTTTCTAGCTGGGGCATATAAATTGTATGCTCCAAGCTTGGAACAGATGGAGACTTTTAGTCAAAATGTTAGCAAGTTGATTTTTTGAACTAATGAATTCAGTACTGATCTCCTTGGAGAGTAACCTCCTGAAAAAAAAAAAGTGACAGGCAATCTCTCTATGTTCAGTTCTTTCATAGGACATAGGATTACAGGCTATAACAAAAACTATGTTGTCACAATACAAGTTCATTTTCTGAATTTCAAAAGTCTTCAACTCTTTAAGCATTTGCTTTATCCACCCCAACACACAAGTGGTTGTGGCCATAGTTCTATATTCTGCCTTTGCACTAGATCTAGCAATAACATTTTGTTTCCTTCTTTTCCACGAGATAATATTTCCTCCAATGGATATGAAGTATTTGGTAGTAGATCGTCAGTCTATCTATGGACATTGTTAGGATAGAGTAACTGATTGTATTCTTTTGATATCTTAACTTGTGTAGTCCCTGGTTCATTCAATGGACCAACTATACTGTAACTTTCTTTCTTTGCTGTTTTTAATTCTGTTAAGTTTCTATTAAGATTCTGTTATATATGAATTCTGAATTGATTCCTGTTGCCTATATATACTAGGCTTGATATACTCCATTAATAACAATACAAATGTATACAGTTTGTATCAAAATTCTCTCTCTCTCAAGAATTCTAATATGGTATCAAGAGCTAGTTGATCCATATCCATGGCTTCCGCATTAGAATCAATTTGTGTGGTTAGGTTTTCATCACAAATAAGCACACCAAAATGAAAAATAACATAAAGTTGGCAAAATTAAGCTCGAGTTTTGCAAAATTGAGTCAATGAAATTCATTTGTGACAACCAAGCAACCTTGCACATAGCATATAATCTCGTCTTCCATGACTTGACTAAACACACTGAAATAGGCTGTCACTTTATTTGAGAAAAAATCATTTCAGAAGTCACTATCTCTTTTGTAAACTCAAATGGTCAATTGACGACGTGGAATTCCACATCAAGTTCTATATCCTCATCATTCTCTTCATCCTTTACCGCCTAGGGTCTTTGGTTTGACATGTTTTGCTCATGCCCTTGGTCCTAGCATTGGCAAACTCTCCTTGGTCTCATTAGTGTGTTTTCTCGAGTACCCAGTCTCAGAAAGGGTAGAAGTGTTATTTTCCTACTCTTTGCAGGTATTTCATATCTACTAATGTCACTTTCTTTGAATCTATTCTATTTTTTGGGTCTAAAACATCTACATTTGAGACTTCTCCTTCTTCGATGGTCCTTTCAACAGTCCTCTTTTGTCCTCCAAAGGATTCTCCATCCCTTCCAGACCCATCTCCTCCACACTTGCAGGTCTATCAGCATCATAATCACCTTATAATGTTGCCACATAGCATCAACAATGTTGCAAACACACCTTTGAAGACCACTCCTTTGCCTCATCCTCTAGTCCCTCCTACCGAGTCTATATTTCCATTGCACTTCGAAAAGGTATATGTTCTACTCGTAATCCCTCTTCTCATTACATTTCTTTGAGTTATGACCGTCTTTCTCTTTCCTATTATTCTTGTTTTTCCTCCTTGTCCTCTGTTTCTATTCCTAAGAATGCAGAAGATGTCTTTGCCCATCCAGGATGGAAACAAGCTATGATAGATGAGATGTGTACATTACAGAGGAGTGGGACTTGGGACCTCGTTCCTCTACCATCCAGGAAATCTATTGTTGGTTGTCGATGGGTCTATGCAGTGAAGCTTGGCCTAGATAGCAAGGTTGATAGGCTCAAGGCTCGTCTCATTGCAAAAGGCTATACTCAGATCTTCAAGTTGGGTTATGGGGACACTTTTTCTCCAGTTGTCGAAATGCCCTATGTGCGACTACTTTTGTCCATTGCTGTTATTCATCATTGGCCTCTCTATCCATTGGACATCAAGAATGCATTTTTACATGGTGAACTACTTGAGGAAGTCTATATGGAGCAACCTCCTTGCTTTGTTTCTCAGGAGGAGTCTTCTGGTCTTGTGTGCTGATTGCAAAAATCTTTATATGGTCTCAAGCAATCACTCAAAGCATGGTTCAACAGATTTAACACTGTGATTCAATAGTTTGGCATGACTCAGACGAGGCTGACCACTCTATCTTTTATTGCCACTTAGCTAGTGGTTGCATCACATGAGAAAAGCAACATCTCTTCAAGCATTTTTCAAATGAAGGATCTTTGAAGACTCAAATATTTCTTGGGAATAGAGGTAGCTTAGTCCAAAAATGAGATCATTGTATCCCAAAGGAAGTATACGATGGGTATTTTGGAAGAAATAGGAATGTTAAATTCCAAGACAATCCACACTCCCATGGATTCCAATGTCAAGCTCTTACCAAATCAACGGGAGCCTCTACCAGACCCTGAGAGGTACAGACAATTAGTTGGGAAGTTGAACTACCTCACTCGCTGTTACCTGTCTAGATATCTCATTTGTAGTGAGTGTAATAAGTCAATTCCTCAACTCTCCATGTAAAGAACATTGGGATGCAGTGACTTGTATTGTTTGATATATCAGAGGAGCTCCTGATAAAGGTCTTTTATATGAGGTCAAAGGACATAGTTGAGTTGTTGTGTATTTTGATGCAGGCTCCCCTATTGATAGAAGCACTACTTTTGGATATTGTATGTTTGTCAAAAGTAACCTTGTCTCTTGGAAAAGCAAGAAACAAAATGTTGTTGTCAGATCTAGTGTAGAGGTAGACTATCGAGTTATCGCTATAGCTAGTCAGGAGCTTATATGGCTCAAACAATTGCTTCAGGATCTAAAGTTTGGAGAGGTCACACACATGTCACTTGTATGTGATAACCAGGTTGTCATGCATATTGCCTTTAATCCAGTATTCCACGAGAGGACAAAGCATATTGAAGTTGATTGTAACTGTCTCAGAGAAAGTCATGGTGGTATAAATATCTACTAGTTTTGTAAGTTCTAATGATCAACTAACAAATATATTCACTAAGGCACTAAGGGGTCTTCAGATTAAATGCATATGTAACAAGCTTGGTACATATGATCTATATGCTTTAGCTTGAGGGGGAGTGTTAGAATCATATAAATATAGTAACTGTGTATAATAGGATTAATTAGATTGATTCTATATTTATGTAATTAGCCAAAAAATAACTGAATATTCTGTAATTATGTACTCTATTGTAAATTCAATAGCTCCATTGTGCTCTAAACACATGGAATTCATCCTATGCTCTCTTGTTCAATAGATATTATTAAGATATTTTAGGATATTTCCATATATTCTTACAGCTGTATAGCACATCATGTACAGAATTGAGTGACTCGAGTTATAACTCTGTTGGAGAGTCCAGCCCCTCTTGAATTCTCTGGTGATTGTAAGCTGCGCTAATTCCTGACATTGGGGAATTGGGGGGGAGTACATATACATACCTTAATATTTTTTTTTCATCCAAATGAAGCTATGATTTACCTGCCTTATGACATTTCCGTTTACTTTTCTAGGAAGATGCCTTATTCTATCGTGGTATTCTCTTCAATCAAGTTGCATTTCTCGTATCAATGCAACATACCTCTACTGTTTGATGGTATTATAACTAAATCTTTTGCAGGTCTTGTTAGCACGCGGACTGCAACTTGAGAGACCTGGTAAAGTCGCTAACATTCAGTACTTGGAGGTATTCTTCTCCCTTCACAGCTGGTTGTTCTCTCTTTTTGTCATTTTAATTTCAACAATTAAATTTCTATTTTGAGATCTCAACTAATTCAGAAATCAACAGAAAAGTGTGCGTTTTGTCATTAGCATGTATGTAGCACACCTTAGTTATCCTCTTATTCTGATTTTCACTGATTAGTCAAGAGTCAAGACTTTTGTCTTGTTTACCTTTTTTAGAATTGAAAAGAGAACTAAGAAGCATGGCACTAGATAAAAATTTTGGTCTAGAATTATCATATTAAGATTTCACAAGAAATGTTGAAATGTTTCAAAAAATGTACTACTCTATTCCATACCTTTTAAACTCAATATGGTCATGGCTGGATCGAAATAGGTCTGGGGTGTGGGAGAGACAATGATTTATCTTCTGAGACCTCAACTCTTACCGGTCTGTGAAAATATTATTTTCATGAGTGCTCAATATCACCCAATCCTAATTATTACACATGTTAATGCTCTACGGGTAATTTATCATGAGATTGAAGTTTTAATTCAGTTTGGAAGTAATTGCAGAAAAATAAAAAGTCCAACAGATTCTCATTGTGAAAATTATCATGAAAAGTGTCATTCTTTCCTTTAGATTAAAATTTTAAAGCCAAAGTTTTAGATATATAAATATGGCTTAAATATGTTTTTAGTCCCTGAAATTTAGGATAAATTTGTTTTTGGTCCTTGAAATTTAAAATTGTTTTTAATCCCTATAATTTCAAAAAATCTTATTTTAGTCCTTATATTCAAATTTTGTTAAGAAAATTATCAAATATTTAAACCTATAAATATTTATAAATAGTTTTGGTATTACACAATGTATAAACTGTTGAGTGATGATATATATACAATAGTTTATACGTCGATTTTATGTTTACCTCTGCCCAATTATTTATTACACTTCAAACTTCTCTCTCTCTCTCTTGGTTGTATAATTTGTTGTAGAAGTATCATTTTTCTAAACTGTTTTGGTGCCATTAGGGTATAGAGGCTCTGGTTTGGCCCTAGATAACCAAAAGTTGATAAATAAAAAAACCAATTTGTTTGACAAAAGAACCAATATTTTCAAGTTTCAGTTGGATGTTGGAACCAACTTATTTGCTTTTAGATTCCTAGCATGTCTCAGATGTCCTGTTGGACTTGTATCCCTCAACGTTGTTAAGTTTGTCCATGCATTGCCTACATTTTTTTTTATAGCAATGCCTGCTTACTGATCAGCTATTGAGATAGGGAAGAATGTGCAAAAGTTCATTTTCTACACACTAAATGATTTGGAATACTACTCCTGGGACTAATACATACATACTAATATTTGTGTGTTTCAGGCAGCACTAAGACAACTTTGGAGCCTTGCTTTTACAAGAGTAGCTCCATCTTTTGATCACCTCGTTGGGGTTTTACTCATTGTTATCTCTGTATGTTCCACCTTGTATATAGGACCTGATAAGGAGATGGAATGATATAGATTTGAGTATGTATGTGTTAGGTTTGCAGCTAACATGATAACATTTGTTATATTCAACTAGTTCATATAAATTTTAGTCTCGTTTATTGGTTTTTTAACAAAAAAACCACGTTATCAGTTTTCAGTTCATATTAATTAGCTCTTTCAGTCTTCAGAAACCGAGCAACTTTCAAGCACGATGCAATTTACAAGGATTATGGTTTTATGTAATGAAAATTTAACCATACATTTTCATTTAGATCCACCACGAAAAGCAATTGGACAGTTCCAACAATTCTAACTCTTATCTTATATATACATACATAAACTCGCTAATACCAAGTTGGTACAACGCTGTTCCCAAGTTATGTTGTTGGTCTTCAATTGATAGTGTAAAAACCTTCGCAACGTCTATTGAAACGGGAACTCGAGTGAAATGAAGGGTGTGTCTGGAACAGCGTTGTGTCTGAATCAGTTGGTTGATATCTTCACCGAGTCTTTTGAGAATAACCTATATATGTACCAACATGAATGCTAATGATTTATATACTCCAACTTGTTGAAAGTGTTGAGTTTTGATCAGATTTCTATGATTCACGTTTTGTACTTTTGCTATAATTTTTTTATTCTTATTTGTTTTTATTTCATCCCTGTAATAAAGGGATTCATTAATTAAATCTGATTGTATTTCTTTTATTATAAATAAAGCAGTTGAGGAACATTTTTCCTCGAGCATTCAGAATGATTCATCATCTATTTTAAGTGTCCAGGTAAGACAATATCTCATGATCATGCATCAAAAGGCCTGTGTGAGGAAATGATAGAATGGGCTAGCTAATGGGAGGCTCAAATATACAAATTAATCAGTAAGCAATTTGTTATGCATTTGTTAGTAGTTAAAGGTTGTAATTCTTGTTGAAATAATTGTGAATATTCAATGTTTCGGAAAGTGTACAAGCTCTAACTGGAATATATAGGCAAATCCTAATCAATGAAAATAAGGAAATAGGCTATACAATATTCTAATGATTACAATTACTAGGTAAAGAAACTAATCTCGAGATAATCTAAACTATTCTAAAGAAACTATGATATAACGTGTTCTCTGAGTTCGAGGAGAGAGATTACCTCCAAAAAGTAATATAGGAGAGAAATAGGCAAATTTTGCGTATCCTTCATAATGGGATCACGATGCTACATAGTGTAATCCTCAACTCACTGTCATGCGCTCACCACAAACACAACAGAATGCTAGCCTAGCAAATGAATTGATGTTGCAATACTCTAATGTTGTGTTTGGATAAATCATTTTTAAAATTCAAGGAATTTCAAATTCTTAGAATTTGAATTACTCTCAATTGAATTCCCTTCCTTTTTCAAATATTTTGTTTGGATAGAGCATTTTTCAATATCTTATATTTCAATTATCTTGTTTGGATAAAGTATTTCAAATTCTACTAAGTAAAATTTCATTTTTAAATATTTATTAAAAAGTTAAAGTTTTAATATTAAATTTTATTTAAATATATTTAATAATTGGAAATTAATTTTAATATTAGAAAATCTTAATTAATTCAAAAATAGTATTAGACATTATATTTAATCAATTTTTTCTTTATAAATTTAAAAAATATTTTAAATTCACAACATATTTAAAAACTTCAAAATACCATTAACATATATAAAACAATTAATACACATTGATTCACGATACGAAATAAGTTCATTTTAAACTAAGAAAAAAATAATAAGAATGTTTAACTTTGAGTATAGGTGGTTCAAAATCATAATATCTCATACAAATTTAAACCAAATACTAATGAAATTTCAAATGTATTTTATGTCCATATTAAAATAACAAAAATAAAAGATAGTTTGTCGAAGATATCAAGATCACAACTTCAAGTCCAAAGATTTTCACCTCCTCATAAAAGCAAAGCCTACAAAAGAATAAAAACAAATAACAATAATAATAAGACCAAGGATCAAAACTCAAATAACAAGACTTTTTTTTTGTTATCACACTTTAAATTTACACAAGTATATAATATATGATAAACTACAATAATATGTTAAGCATGAGTTTAATCTAAAAACAATGAAGAGCCACATGGAACGTGGTGCAAAACTTAAACATGAAATAATGGTTTAGATTAGTTTACAGATTGGATTTAGAAAATGGTCAGAAATCAAGTCAAGTAAGTAATTGACCTGATGATAAAATCCAAATATTCATGGAATGCATAAAAGCTCCAAACTTGAAACATACAAAATACATGAAAAAGTTAGAAAGTTAACTTCCAACAATCAATCAAATTAATTAAAATTAATAAGTTATGAAAAAAATTACTTCAAGAAATATGTGTTAAAACATAAGCTGCCTTTTTCTCAAAACGGCCCGTTCCATTTTAGGAACGACCCGTTCCAGGCCCGTTCCAAATAAGCTTTTACCCCTTTTTGGAGGAGTTTGGAACGGCCTGTTCCAATCTTGGAACGGCCCGTTCCAATCATGGAACGTCCCGTTCCAATCTCGAAACAGCCCGTTCCAAATTAGGACCTCGGCAGGATTAAGGTCAAATTTGAACCCTCAATCTACGGCCCAGTTTGAACCATCACGAAAAGCTAAAGTCGAGTTCAAACCTCGGTTTTATTATGGCAAAATTTAAACCTTCACGTAAAAAATATATACACATATATATATACAAGCAAAGTTCTCAGGATTCAACACTTGAATCCAAAACAGAAATAAATTACGATTACAAAATCGGCCTACACAGAGGCATTATCGCTGGAGCTATCCTCAACGTCATCCTCCTTGACTAGCTTCCCAAAGCGAACGATCTTCTCCACATGCATGCTGGAGAAGTCAAACCCTGGCGCAAGAAGCCTGGCCTGACGAGCAGCCTTGAGGAAGCCCCTCTTATGCTCCACCACGA